CTCCCCCCTCTCCCCTCTCCCCTCTCTCTCCTCTCTCTCTCTCTCTCTCTCTCTCTCTCTCTCTCTCTGCTTCCTGGACACTGTGATGTGAATTCTTCCATCACCCTGCCCTTGCCGGGATGGATGGACACCTCTACAACCATAGCAAAACAAGCTCTCATTCTCTTAAGTTCACACCTCAGGTGTCTGAACACAGCAACAGTTGACTAATACACTTGAACTAGATGATCTTTGAGGATTTGAGTATTTCTGATTAAATCTTCAAGACCATAAAAGTAGGTCAAGCTTCCTACTCTCTGAGGAGTGTTTCATTCCAAGAGATGGATGCATGGCCTTGGCACTTCTGTTACAGGCCAGAAAATAAAAGGGAGACAAGAAATCCCCAACCTTTAAAAATCACACAACAGGATTTTTCAAAAATACATCAAGGTTCTCCTACATGTGAGTTTTTGTGCCAGCCCCCGTGATGATAGTAGTAACAAGACTAAAGGAAAGAAGACTTCAGGCCTGAGGACTCCCACTCCATGCCTTGTGTGCTCAATACAAAGGGAAGGACTTGGAAAGACTAGTCCCCCTCATCCTACAGTGTTCAGCAATGGAAAATAAAAAACTGAACATTTTAAATACTTTATTACAAATGGGATACCCCAATCTCCAAGTGGAGAACATTCTCAAGAGGATGAATGCTTTCTAATAATACTTGGCTATTTGTGTGTATATGTAAGGCTATGTATAAGTGTGTTTGTATAATATGTTCTGCGTATATGTGTAGTTTTGGGCAAGTATATTGTGTACCATATATTATTTGTGAATGTTTATGACCAGATATGGCCCTCTATATGCACAATAAATTAACATGAACTTACATAAGTATGAGTAATTATATTTTTGTTCACTCTGTGTGTGTGCATGTGACATGTATGTGTTGGTGAATAGGGACTGAAAGCTCATTCTGAAGATACAATTTTGGTCATGTGGTTAACAGGTTTTTCAGAGGAGCACATCTTGCTGCACCTTGCTCAATAAATCCTCCTTGGCTTAAAATTTACAAAGCTTACTGGGTTTGTTTGCTTTTGTTGTTTCATTTTGTTGACTGACTCTCTGCCTTCTGAACAAACAAGCAGGAGGGTGAGGCTGCAAGTGTACACTGGCAGCTGTTCATTAGATAATTGCACATGCCACTAGTCCAAGGTGACAGCTACCACTGACTCACAGCTCTCATCCCAGGAAGGCAAAAGTGAGTCTTGAGAAATCCTCTGTGCCATTCCTCAACGGAGACCTACAGCTGCAGCAAGGAGCAGCACACTGCTGGAAAGCAAGCTGTCTGCATTCATGTCTTCCTTGGGGACAGAGAAGCTCCCCCTTGGTCCCTGTCTCTTACCATGGTGGCAATGTTAAGGGCTGAATTATAGTCTCCTCAATCTCTGCCTCATTACCTGCAGCAATAACCAAAACCCTGAATATTTAGAATGTTTCCTTAAACCAAAAGCCAAAGAGAAATGATTTTAATTCATTTACACTTTAATCATGAGTCAGAAGGTAGTAAGCCAGAGTTTACTGCAAATAGTACCAGCCAATCTGTTATGCCCATGACTCATTCTTTCTGAGTGGAGCTTTTTCCACCATCATACAATTCATCTCCTAAAAATATCCAGTATTGATGGGCTGTGCTGTCACAGCTGAACCATCTGGCTGCTCCTCTGACATTATTAGGGGACCAATACAAAAATCTTCTAATTCAGTCAGGGAGTAACTTGAAGCAATGTCTATTGCCTGCCATTCAAACAATTCATCTTTAAAAGTTAAAGGGAGACATCTAAATAAACAATAAACAAAATTAAAAGGTAATAACAAAGACAGTCATGAAAAACTGTGGGAGGATATCAATGTCCAGAATACAGTTAGTCATATAACAGAGCAATAAAGTAAACAAGTCAGAAGAAAGTACATAGACAGTGGATCTAGGTACCGGTAGCTGGTGCATTATCTGGAGACAATTAAAATAATAATAAAAACTGACTACCAGCTAGCCTGCTTTTTATTCCTCTTCACACCAACCCTAAATAATGCCAGTGGTAAAGCTGCCCTTCTTACCAGAGACCATCATGTTTGCTTGTGCCCTCATTACCATTTGTAAGCTTCCTGCCATGTTGCATAAGGTGTAGAAGAAATACAAATGAGTAAAATACATCAGATACCATCACCTTTGCTCATCTGACTAACTTTAAATATTGATAACATCCAATGTTAGCAAGGATGACAACACATGGTCACACCCATAAATTGTTGGTAAGGGTTGGGTCTTCTCTCTATTGCTTGTCCATTTGTAGTTCATTCAGGCAATGGGCAAATTAGCCATATTCTCAAACTGTTTCTTATGTGCAAAACTGAAAATTACTTGGCACAAAGTACACATATGGTATTTGCATTCCATTCTCAAAGGAAGTTCTTTACCTAGTATATATTCAGTCTGAGTGAAGCTGTCGATCACGAAGTGCTTCCCTCTCACCCATTCCCAGGAACTATCAATGGCAGAGACCTACTCCTCTCACTCCCTTCTGCCTGAGGTCTATGGCTACTGCAGCAGAACACCTACTAGGGTGTTCCACTCAGAGGCAGTGGCAACTGCAGAATTCCCACAGAAAAGCTCCTTAAAAGCTCAAAGCAGGGGCTAGAGAGATGCCTCAGTGGTAAAGATGCCTCTGCTGATCTAGCAGAGGGCCAGGGTTTGGCTCCTAGCACCCATATGGTGACTTACAACTGGCCATAACTCCAGTTACAAGAAATCTGGTACTTCCTTATGTCTGTCACCCTGCACACCAGGCACACATAAACATACACTTACATATATGTAAGCAAAACACTTATAACCATATAATGAAAATAAATCTTTTTTTAAACCTCAAGACATTTGAAAAAGAGGCACAAGGATATTTGGCCTTTCATGATATTGCATTTGCTTCAAGATAACACATTTTCATACAATCATATGTAATCTGGGGTTTGCAAGCACTGGAGCCTCTCCAATCAAGTATGCCTAAATAGGCCAAGAAGTTTGCAGTCCATGCTACCTGTTATTTCTTTCTGCAGGAATTTAGATACCTAGCACTGGGAAATGTTATCCTGCATGTAACATAAGGTTGAAGAGGGGTTGAGTGGAACTGTGAGATCAGAGGAAGAGAAATGTAGTTTTGATAATCACATTTGAGCTGCCAGGTCCACTAGGCACTTTCGGGCCAGAAGCTTGTCTTGTGAGCTGGGTCGCTGTCATATGCAACTGACAAACTCTGGGAAGTGGAAACAAGAATGGCCAACAGCTGATATGCAGTGTGGTATCTACAAAACCACAACTTCAAAATCAAAGAACTGATACTTGCTTTAAATAACTCTATTTATTCCTTTAACTTTCCCATTTACCTTTAGAGCCTTACAAAATATGATCTGGATCAAGAAATAAAATATCCCACCAGCAGCTTAGGTTTCTCTTCCCCTTCTCCAGAGGGACTCGCCTTCCTGAATGCTCTCTCTGCCTAGTTAAACAGGCATCTGGTGGGAGGTGTATTTTGTAAAAGCATTTTGTGCCTGGCCTCTTTTGCTTACACCTATACTCTGTCTTACAGGAATATTTATTCATTCACTGTCATATAGTAATCTATACCACAATTTATCCATTCCAATATTGGCATTCAAATTCATTCAGCCACTGTCTAAGTAAGCTGTTTCCAAAGAGAGGTAAGTAATGGGCTATAAAAGGTGTCTATTCAAAAGATAGCAGCAATTTCCCAAGGAAATTGTGTTACTAGTGTAGTGAGAGTTCCAGTTGCTTCCTGTCTTCCCCAACACAGGAAGTCATCCACTGCATTTATTTTAGACTTTGAAGACAGGTAGTGATGTTCACTGTGGTTTTGGCTTGCCACCCCCTCATGCCCATGAGATTGAGTGTCACTTTATCCTCTCTGCCACATGAAGATCCTGTCACTGGCATGCACGTCAAGGTCTGTCCCCTTTGCCTGCAAGACCACCCTTTTCTTTTTACTTGAAGGAACACTTTGTATTTCCAGGAAGAGTAATTTTTTGTTTGACACAATTGTCAATAAATTCTGTGGCTTCCCCTTTTTAGTTTCTCAGTGGTATTTTGATAAGCAGAACTTTTCAACTTTAATTATTATCCAATCAGTGACCTTTTTGACACATGCATCTGTGTCCCATCTAAGAAGTCTTTGTTCCCTTCAAAACTGTGATGATCACATCTTGTATTATTTTCTGGAAGCCCTATCATTTTATCTTTTACATTTAGATTTACATCTCCTTGGAATCCCAAGGATTTGGGATTAATTAAGGATTTGGGGGTTAATGTGACAAAGATCATCAAATTAATTTCTTATATGATGAGGCAATTCATCAAGCACAATCTACTTAGACAAAAGTTTTCCTCTTTTGTTTTTTAGTGAAAAACTTCTCATAAATTAAACATTATATGTGGGGAGGTCTTTTTGTAGATTCTATTATATTTGATTGGTTTGTTTATTTTTATATTACATTATTTGCTATTGCTACTTTATAATCTT